ATATATACATACATATATATATATATATACATATATACATATATATATATATACATATATATATCGCTTGCATATGAATAGACCCCGTTCTTCTTTGTTGGTGTTATACAGATAAATAATAAAATTAAAACAAAAATAAAGCAAAGACAAACAAATTGTTTTTAATTATTTTTAATTATTATAAATTATTATTTTTTTTGTTTTGCAGTGTACGTACATCCAATCAACAGACTCGACAGAGTCACCTCAGGCCTCGTCATATTCGCAAAAAATCGTAAATTGCTGCTGCTGCTGCTGTTGCTGCTGCTGCTGTTGCTGTTGCTGCTGTTGCTGTTGCTGCTGTTGCTGCTGCTGGTGCTGCTGGTGGGGCTGCTGGTGCTGCTGTTGCTGCTGCTGTTGCTGCTGCTGTTGTTGCTTCTGGTGTTGTTGCTGCAGCTGCTTTTGTTGCTGCTGTTGCTGCTGCTGCTGCTGTTGTTGCTGCTGCTACTGCTGTTGTTGCTGCTGCTACTGCTACTGTTGCTGCTGCTGCTATTGTCGCTGCTTCTGTTGCAGCTACTGTTGTTGCTACTGTTGCTGCTATTGTTGCTGCTGCTGCTGTTGTTGCTGCAGCTGCGACAGCGAAGACCCTCACATCTGCGCTTGGCGATGCCGGGAAAGTTTATTTATGCAAAGTATATTTTTTATATTTTTAATTTTTTTGTTTTTGTTTGTTTGTTCGTTTGTTTGTTTTCTTTGTTGTTTATTATTTTTGTTTTTTGTTTGTCTTTGCTTTTTTCTCTTATTCGTTCGCTTGCTGGCTGCCTTTGCAAAAGCAGCAGCTGCTGCTGTTGCTGCCGTTGCTGCTGCTGTTTCTGCTGCTGCTGTTTCCGATGTTGCTGCTGATGTTGCTGCTGCTGCTGTTGATGCTGCTGCTGGTGTTGCTGCTGCTGCTGCTGATAGGCGGCGTGGCTGTTGTTTTTTGTTTTTGTTTTCAGGTGTACGGACGCTTCTCTGATATATTTGCAGCGGTTCACGAGGCTGCGCAGCAGCAGCAGCAACAAGAACAGCAGCAGCAACAAGAACAGCAGCAGCAACAAGAACAGCAGCAGCAACAAGAACAGCAGCAACAGCAGCAGCAGCAGCAAGCCTCGTCCGATACTGAGGGAAAGAAACGCAGCGCTCCCATTTCTCCTTGTGAAGCCCTCAGGTGTATATTGCAAACTCTGTACTCACTTAACTGCTGCTGTTGCTGTTGCTGCTGTTGCTGCTGCTGCTGCTGCTGCTGATGTTGGTGCAGGAGCTGCTGCAGCAGCTGCTGCTGCAGTTGCGGTTGGAGAGCATGCTGTTCTGCTGCCCACCGTCTTGCCGCTGCTGCTGCTGCTGCTGTCTTCCTGCTGGTGCTGCTGTCTTACTGCTGCTGCTGCTGTCTTGTTGCTGCTATTCAGGAGGCCTCGTTTGCTGCTGGAGGGAGAGACAGAGCAGCAGCAAACGAAGCAAACAAACGGCTTCCTTAACGTTCTCCTCACTGAAGATACGCAGCAGCAGCGGCAGCAGCAGAAGCAGCAGCAGCAGGGGCAGCAGCAGCAGAGGCAGCAGCAGCAGCATATCAATGGCGAAGCGCCTCTCGCTCCTGCAGCGTCAGAAGCAGCAGCAGCAGCAGCAGCAACTTCACTTCCAGAATCAGCAGCAGGAGCAGCAGTAGGAGCTGCAGCCGCAGCAGCTACATCAGCAGCAGCAGCGGCAGCAGGACAATGTGATATACGAGCTCAGCTTCGCGCTGCACGGTTGCAAAGGAGGCAGCAGAAGCAGCAGCAGAAGCAGCAGAAGCTGCAGCAGAAGCGAGAAGAGCAGCAGCAGCAGCAACAGCAGCGCAAACTGAGAAATGAAGCAAATGAAAAAACTTTTATTCTTAAAGATGCAATTAAAAGAAAACTTGTGCTGCCTTTTTTGCTGTCCAATGGCGTCCCCACCCTCAACACAACAGAAACATCTGCTGCTGCTGCTGCTGCTGCAGCTGCAGCAGCAGCTGCTGCTGCTGATGATGATACGGTTGACGGCGCTTTGTTGGGTTTGCTGCGGGGTTCTAACCCTTTTCTGCTGCTGAATGCAAAGCTGAGGACAGTGCAGGCCCCTGTTGCTCCTGCTGCTGCTCCTGCTGCTCCTGCTGCTGCTGCTGCTGCTGCAGAGCAGCACGAAGAAGCATTCTCAGCAGCAGAGGCACCACCGGCGCAGTTAATGCAGGCAATTTGGGATGAAGAAAATGGAAAAGAAACAAAAACAATATTCGCACACATACAATACTCAGGTCAGCAGCAGCAGCAGCAGCAGCAGCAGCAGAAGCAGCAGCAGCAGAAGCAGCAGCAGCAGCAGCAGTATTAGCAATAGTAAATAGCAGTAGAAACATCGGCAAACAGCAGTAGCAGCGGCAAACAGCGGTATCGGCAACAAACAGCAGTGTCAGGAAGCAGGAACAGAAACAGCAGCACACAACAGCAAACAGCAGCAGCAGCAGCAGCAGCAGGAAGCGCATGCATTAATTGTTTGTGCATGCAGAGACGTCGAATACTTCTCTTATTCTCGCGCTGCCCCTCACCGGACGCAGCCACCAAATAAGAAAGCACTTATCTCTTCTAGGGGTAATTGTCGTGAAATAGATACGCAGCAGCAGCAGCAGCAGCAAACATCTGCAGCAGCAGCAGCCGCAACAGAAGCAGCAAGCAGCAGCAGCAGAAGCAGTACTAGTACTAGTAGTAGTAGGAGCAGCCGCAGCAGCAGTAGCAGCAGTAGCAGCAGAAGCAGCAGGAGTATCAGTAGCAGCAGCAGAACTAGCAGTGGCAGCAGCAGCAGCAGTAGCAGCAGCTGCAGCAGTAGCAGCAGTAGCAGACATAGGATAGGAACACCAGTAGCAGCAGCAGCAGCACCACCACCACCACCACCAGTAGAAGCAGCATCAGCAGCAGCAGCAGATGATGATATTTTGTTTTAATTTGCTGCTTTCTTTTGTTATTGCAGTACCCAATAGTCGGTGATGCTTTATACAGCACGCACCAGCAAATCATGCAATCCAAGCAGCAGCAGCAGCGGCAGCAGCAGCAACAGCAGCAGAAACAGCAGCAGCAGCGGCAGGATAGGCAACAACAACAGCAGCAAAAAGGAGAACAGCAGCAGCATCAGCAGCAGCAACAGCAGGAACAGCAGCAGCAGCAGCAGCAGCGGGTAGATGGAGATGCGTGCTGCAGCACCGATAGAAACATCAGCGAGGGTTTGTACGATCAGCAGCTGCCTGTACACCCCAAAGGGCGTTGGGAGATGCCAGAAGGTAAATAATAAATAATTTTTATTATTATAATTTAAATAATAATAATAATAGCAATAATAATAATAATAATAAATACTAGCAGTGATAAGGAATCAAAGAAGAGTTAAGCCCTGCACGCCTTTCACAGTTTCAGAGCAGACATTTAAAATAACAAAAAAAGCAGCAGCAGCAACAGCAGCAGCACCAGCAGCAGCAGCAACACCGACACCAGCAGCAACACCAACACCAACAGCAACACCAACAACAGCAGCAGCAGCAGCAGCAGCAGCAAATGTGTTTGTCTGCTGCAGGGTGGTGGGCTCCGTTTGAGTTAGAGGAGTTGCTGCATTTGCTGCCGTGCTGCTGCAACCCCCAAAATAAACAGAGACACACAGCAGCAGCAGCAGCAGCAGCAGCAACAGCAGCAACAACAGCGACAGGAGCAGCAGCATCAGCAACAGAACCAAGAGCAGCAGCAGCACCAAGAACAGCTACAACGCCAGCACAAGCAGCAGCAGCAACAACAGCAGCAACAGCAACAACAGCAACAACAACAACAGCAGCAGCAGCAGCAGAGAAGGTTGCATGCAATAAAGATGTTGTCTGGCATTTGCTGCAAGTAAAACAAATTGTAGAGACAGCTGGAGGGCGAGCGAGAGTTAAAAAAGAAAGAGATAAATATTCTATTCAGGTTAGAGACATAATATAATTATTATTATTTTTATTATTTATTATTATTATTATTTTATTTATTTATTATTTATTATCTTTATTTGTTTCGTTTTATTTTTATTATTGTTGTTTTGTTGAGAAGAAAGACACCTATATCTTATATCCTTTTTTATATATATATATATATTTATTTTATTTATATATATATATATATTTATTTATATATAAATATAATATACATATATATATATTATATTTGCGTATTTATATGCTGCTGCTCTTTTTAATGAACAGGTATTACAAATATTATTATTATTTTTTTTTATTTTTATTATTATTTTTATTACTTTTCTGTTGTTTATTACTATTGATTATTATTATTTATTTTTATTTTGTTATTATTACAATGGTTTATATTATTTATTATTATTTATTATATTGCCTGTTGTTTATTATTATCAATAAAAGTATATACTTTTGTTTTGTTGATAATTGAGGTGTATATACACCTCAATAGATTATTATATTTTTCTTTTTTTGTTTGTTTTGTTTGTTTTGTTTGTCTTAGATTTTATATCGGTTGGAGGTTCCCGAAGAGATTTGTTTATTTGCTCTTTTTTATGTTTTTTATAAAACTCCTATTAACAACAGCAGCAGCAGACATCACAATCTCACAATGCAGCAGCAGCAGCAGCACGAGATGCAGCAGCAGCAGCAGCAACAACAACAACAGGAGATGCAGCTGCAGCAATATGATCAGGTGAAAGAGCAGATACAGCAGCAGGACCTGCAGCAGCAGCAGCAGCAGCAGCAGCAGCAAGAGGAGGCGTTTGTTTTTAGCAGTTTGTTGGGGTCTCCTCCCTGGGCTTCTCCCGTGTTGCAGAGACACCGCAAAACTTTTCAGCTGTCTCTTCACCAGCTCGCAGCAATTAAACACAAAATCATGCAGCAAACCCAGCAGCAGCAGCAGCAGCAGCAGGAGTAGCAGTAGGAGCACCAGCGATAGCGACAGCAGCAGGGATAGCAGCAGCAGCAACAGCAGGTGTAGCAGCAGCAGTAGCTGCTGTAGCATCAGCAGGGGCTGCAGCAGCAGCAGCAGTAGCAGTGTTTGCTACAGCTGCAGCAGCAACTGCAGCAAAAGCAGCAGCAGCAGCCAGCTGCTGCAGCACCTGCAGCAGCAGATGTTTTTTGTCTCTTATTCCATTACCAAAACAATTAATTAATTTTTCTTTGTTTATTTAACTTTGTTTATTTGTTTGTTTTCGTTTGCTTCTTTTTGTTTGTTTGGTGTAAATAAATAAACAAAAACAAATAAATTAAACAGCAAAGTAAAAAGCAGAAAAATATATA